TTCTAGCTTGCTCTCTTCCCCCTCCCCCCTCCTCCCCAAAAAAGAAATCTTGAAGTCACAGAATATAAGTTATCGTTCCCCTGCTTCCAAGAAAATTCCCAGTTTTTGAGCCTTTAGCACTTTAGAAAATATTTACGAGTTCCGAAAACCCGTAGATAGTACAAACACATGTTGAGTTTTTCGGACACCATAGGATTAGTCCAAGGCAGCGATTTTTTCCCACATAAATCATTATGACCAGCGGCTCTCTGTCACTCTGAACAACCCTCGATCAAAACAAGGCGAATCTTTGACCGCACTGCGTTATTGGGATGATTGCCGCTATTTTCGTGGTGGGGAAAATGTGCTGCATTTCGTAATGGAGGCCGCTTCAGCTGTCATGCTCGCTGCCGGTTATTGGCCTCATATGGGCACGCTTGTGCATTTTTTCGCCCTCGTTGCCGTTGACAGCCTGTCGTAAATCGAAGTGTTTATTTATTTCTCAGCTTACGAATGTTGCGCTTCAGCATAGTACGCATTTGCGGAAAAAATCTTTTCCCATAAGTGAGCTTTGTTGCAAATCATCGCCAACGCTGTTCCACTCGCACATCTGGCTTCAGGACCATTTGTGTGAAGTAGGCGAAAAAATATGACCTTCAGCTCCCCGGGTGCAGTGAATAGCACATGTCATTGCGAATTCTACGCAGAAGTGACACTTCATAAAACTTTTTTTGGAAACTGCTCCTCTTACACCGAGGAAAATCTGCTTTTTTTTTGTACTGCGGGAGTGGGAATAAACTTCATTTTTGAATTCTTTTGAACACAGACATGTAGTAGTTTACTGACATCGAATTCTTTAAAGCGCCTCAATCTTCAAGAGTTAGCCCTGAATTACCGGTTTTGAAGATCAACTCTTACAATAGTGGTTCAAAAGAAAAGTTCCATTGTGGACCCAAATGTAACTTCATGCCATCATGAAATGTTCAGAGAAGGGTAGAAAAGTCAGCTTTACAAGAGCGTGGTGATAGAGACGAGGGAGTCACCATCTGCCTTTTACAATATGGTCATTTTTCTGTTCGTAGTCTTCTTATCTACATCTGAGATTTTTACACCGTTAATGAGCTATCCATCATCTTCATTTATCGTTTCACCATTCAAGCTTTTGTTTATTTTTCTGCGGAAAAAAGTGGAAAATGATACATAGTTTGCGTAGCCCGATAAATCAAGGCCTTCAGTCACACTTTTGAACTCCTATTATGATTTGGTCCATTTACCCGTAGCTCATAGTTCGGTCAAACTTAAGCCGCTTTCATTGTGCTATACTCGTAAATGATTATGGACGTAACGTTAACTACGAAATTCTTTTTTTTAGGAGGGGGGGGGGGGGAGCGGGCAGAAACTTATACAAAGAAGCTAGCGTTAAGCTAGCAAGGCCTTATGTAGAGGCTTTTGACACGCCTTTCTAACTTTTCGAGGTTCTATAACCACGAAATTTCGACAATGGGCGTATGACACCCACACCCTAAAAAGATGTTTTTAGAGGTCTAACTTGAATTTTCATAGAGTTTCCGGAAATTATTTACATAATCTGTGCAAAGTTATCCCCACAACTTCGAACCTTAGGAAGGTCACTTTTGAAAATGAGCTACATTCTTCCATTCGCTCGGCCTGCCATTGACAAGTACCTTCTGCATACCAATATTTCTTTCTTTGATTTTCACTTACTATCTGATACTGTCATTTGGGACTACCTTTTTAAAGTGTAAGTTTTCCGGTGCAAGAGATGTATCTCCATACATCTATTCAATGACCTCGAAAACTCGAAAACTATTTTAACTTTACATTTTTGTATCCCCTTCTCTAAGTCTAGTATTTAGGACCATATTTTCCTTTGCACATTAGACTTACAACTTGTCACATCTACAGTTGGTAGTACGTCTTCGTGGACATGTACTAATGGTTGCCAATAAATTTCGAGGAGAAAAGCTGAATGGGGTTTACACCCCGTTCTGGCATTCTCACATCCACAAAGTGCAATTTAAATACAAGCCGAGTATACGCTGAGCTATTGCAAGCTATTAGGTGTTTTTGAAAAGTCCAAAAGCAATGTGCGCAATGTTGCGAGTAATTTTTTCTTCCCAAAGAATAGAAAAGCATGCTTTTGCATTATCTAGGATTTTTTTTTTGCTTTCAGCTATGTTTACTTCAAGCTTGTCGTCCTCTAATAGGCAAACATGGTTGGCGTTACTCAGATACCAGTGGCAGAGATTCTTAAGGGCGGATTTTCTTGAAGAAGGAGGTCAGCCACGCTTTCCTAGAAGGCTATTCCAGGTTTTGTAAGCCTATAATATTATTTCCTATCTAAATGTGAAAAAATTAAAAAATTTCGCTCCTTATTTTCGTGTATAGGTAGGGGAAACAAATATTAGTTCAAAACGCATCTGTACGTTGCTATTTGATTTTGCTACATCTATTCAAGATACTTCTTTTTTTACTACAAGTTGCATACACTAAAGTATCAACTTATCGCTATGCTGTCTTAGGCGTACAAATTTTTGTTTCTTTTCAGTGTGTGCCAGGTTGGATCTATGGAGGTTTATGTTCATAGCTACAGACTTACATAGTTTTCTCAGATGTTTACAAATTTTCAGCTTTCTAAAAACTTGCAACATCATAGAAGTTAGAAAAGAATATACGGAAGTTTTGGCTGCTCACTCAAAAAATGTCAACTTTGTCTGCGCTATTTTCAATTCTCTATTGCGTGTTACTTGTTGTAGTTGGTGAATGTTAACGAATTTCGACAATTTCTCTTGAAGAAAATCATGCAGTTCTTTTTCAACAAATTAGGAAAGGGCGAACCCATTATGCGGGCTACCTCTTATGATTCACTAATTTATAGTTAAGTAATTAACGTTGACATTGCCGCCAAAAAGTGTATTGCAGGTATTTTTAAAGGCTCAATCCCACTTCCAATCATTGCTGGAAATAGAAAAGTTATTATCATTTCCAGCTTGATTTCTGTTTTCCATGTCCTTTTATCATCCTTGATATAAACTCGAATTTTTGGACACTACCGTTTGATAGTGCGTATTCTGTTCTATTTATCGAACCGGTCCCACACTTTCATGGTAACGTAAAATTCTTTTGTTGATTTCTTCTGATATTTCGAAGGCAGCGTAACTTATTTAGTGCCAGAATGGAACACTTCTGTTAGGTTTCTCAAATTGACGTTTCTAGTACTACTTCACTGATTTCAAGTTGCTAACTTTTCTTTTCTGGTAAAGGCGAAGCAGAAAAAAAGCTGCTTGAGTTGAACTATGCGAGTTGTAAACAATTCTACTTGGAAACCAGTAGAGGTAGAAGCAAATTTTCTATAGGGCCAGAAGTGGCTTCATTCAGGCTCTTGGAAACTTTTTCCTTGCTCATAGTTTAGTATAAATGCATTCTGTGGTACAAACATGGAAGTCGTACTCTTTTCATTTGTCCATGTTAGATATAACAGTCTTCAGAAACATTTTTTGTGGTCTAACCATCAAGATAGTCAGCGAATACGGATACAAAACTGTCTCATCCAGAACCTGTTGGAAGTGATTCACTCCAAATCTTTTCGTTTCCGATTTAATGCTGATTAAGGTGTGACAAAAAAATTATTTTTATGTGTTCCACATTATTCTTACTCACCGTTTCATGCACATTGCTTGAGTTCTCAAAAAAAAAGTCAAAACAAAGATTAATCAAATATGAATGTCGCTGACAGTACAGTAGCTCTGTGAAATTCACTTTACTTCTTTAATCTTTATTTTAACTATTTAATCTTTATTTGGACTTTTTTTGAGAACTCAAACAATGTGCATGAAAGGGTGAGTAAGAATAATGTAAAACACATAAAAATAAATTTTTTTGTCACACTTTAATCAGCACTAAATCGGAAATAAATAATAATGCAATAGAAATATAAGGAATCGAAAGTAATGGAATTTATAACATAGTAAACTTATGCAAAAACTTGCATGCTTCAAAATATCAGCTTTCCAAGGAGGAAAAAGGGAAAGTTTTTGATTAGCTTTTGGTTTCCACTTTTAGTTTTGGCTTATCATCAAAAGATTCACAATGAAGCTCTGCTCCTTTGCTTTTGAAAAAAAAAGCCAACTTAACGAGCTTGACGAGACTTTAAAGGCCTCAAATGCCTTACTCTCACGCTTAGCAAGTTTTCCCCATCCGCTCTGTATTCCCATTTCCATATCCCGCTGTCCTCGATGACTCACTCGGTTCTACGGGGGGAGGGGGGGGGGGAGGACACGACGCTCCGGTGCCGTCCTTGCCTCATCGTCTATTATGGACTCACCAGCACATCATAATATAATCGATCTCAATCGGGGTTTTTCCGGGATTTTTTTTTGCCCTCCACGACTGTGTGCTTCACGTTGTGTAGTGTGAGTCTGGCTCGAGCGAGTGCGAACGCTGCAACGAGTTCCACGGGAGTTTTTTGTTCCACAATCACCTTTTCGCGTTTTACAACGTTTTGAGCTCATGTCAGTCCATCATCGTAAGACTGAGTGAGCGTATGTGTATAGGTGTGTAGTAAATTTATCGTTTTTAGCTTTACAAAGAGAACTTCCGCGTCCTTTAACTTTCGCAGAATGTCGCTTGGAATTACCAGTAAAAGAATAAAAATGTCCTACGGCGAGACATCTGCAAGAATTCTTGCAGGTGTTACTCCAGAGCCCATAACTTAGAAAAATACCCCTAGTGGGTACTCCTTGCCCTTAGCCCGGGAATCTACCTGAATTTGCCCTATCGCTTCCGATTATGAGTCAATCACTCGGCGCAAAACCGAGTGACCGCTGATAACAGTTGCTCTTTCGTCCTCTTATTGTATCTTTTCGTCCCGAGAGCGCTCTACTCCTCTCATTAATCTCTATAGCCGTTCTTTCCGCGTAAATTATTCGCATCGGGTTCAAATCTCTCTCCTGCAGCTCTTTTAGCTCTTCTTCCAGAACAGCTGGATACGTCGCTGCCCAATGGTCGCTACATCGGCCACGGCGTTTTTGCTACTCGTTAGCCTTTGCCGGGCACTGGATGAGGTACGTAGCCCTGTGAGAGCTCGTTCTGTTTTTGCGGACTCGATTATGATTGCCAGAAAGCTCATGAATGATGTTACAGAAGTATTCGGACAAGCATGATTTTGAGCCTGATTTAAAAATTACCATTATTAAAATAGCTTGCTAGGCTAATATATCCACACATATTCTTACCTATTCTCCTCCCACTGACAACCATTTTTGATAAATTATCCGTTAATAATAGCTTTTTACACGAATTCCTATGTCTTTACATGTTTTTGAGCCGTAGTATTATATATCATATTAGGTCAAACGAATTTTCGAGTAATTGTTACTCTGTTCTATTTGGATTTTCTGCATGAAACCACTTTTCTTAAATTTAATCATGTACATTCTAATGGCATCTCGCTTTCTAGTGAGTTTTGATTGCAGAGACAAAAATTGAAAAAGGAGATCATTCGAGTATTAATGATTTTAAGCAGGCCACTTCAAATCTAGAAACTTCGCAATAACAAAATACCAGACAACATGATTTTGAAACATCCTTTTTCCAAATGGGCAAAACTTTTACTGATCGAGCGTGTTTTTGGTAGGGTCAGTGCCAAAAATTAGTTCTGCCGTTTTGTATAGTATTTTCCGAAAATCATAGCACTTCTTGAAAACTCGTTTAGCATAAACTTTATTGAAAAGAGTATGTCTTGAAAATTATGCAAAGTTATCGATTTTTTGCTTGGTTATCAAATTTTTGACTTGCTTGTTCAAAGTCACTTGACCCTAGAAACTGTATGTCTTAAATTTAATCAAAAGTAATTTTATCTTTTTTGTGAAAATTATTGAGGCAAAATTTGTGCATTATGCAGTAAACTATATCGTGTGAACCAAAATCTTACTGTAGTTACTAAAATTATAAGTATCACCGACAATTTACTCTCGTAAACAGTAGCAAAATTCCGTTTTGAAACTTTTTGCTTTCCTTGGTTCTGTAGAATTTGTCCTACGTGTTATTCTGAAAAGAAAAAACTATGACTTGCTTAGAACTGAATTCTCCTATCATAAAGTCATATAATCTGACGTTTATTTAAACTTTGTCAGCTTTTCTGCTTCAAGTGTGCATCCTCGCCCAGTGCTTTTTCGTTACCTTTTGTTTTTCATTGATCCTACTCATTATTTTCCGCGATACTTACTCGAGCCCTTCTTTGCTTTTATGCCATTCTTTCTGCTCGCGTCTGTCTTCCATTATAAGTTCTAATCACTTCTGCAAAAAGAGATAAGACAAAAGCTGCACTTTACGCATCACTATGTTGCAAGCCGAAAAATGCACTTATGCAGTTGAAGATAGCAACAGAAGTGGAAGGCTAAAAAAATTTCTGACATTTTTATGTGCACGATAATGTAATGTAGGATCAACTATTCTTATCGTTGTTGGGAAAACTCTACTATGCTACCACAAGGAATTCACTAGCAAATTGCTTTTTCATAGCAGTTTTTTTACATGTAATCGAGAGACAGCCCCGATGACTAGTTTGGTATGTTTGCCCTTGACATCTTCCTTCTCCAAGGCTGAGGAAAACACCTCTGATTCACCATGTACATTTTTTCTACTTTTTTCTATGTACAATTCTTTTCATTTTTTTCTTTTTTTCTTTTTCTAGAATTTACTGGTTTTCTAAAAGTGCTAGGAATTAATCTGGCGGAGTATCTTGTGAAGATATAATTTTGTCGGGGGTGACTAGCAGTTTAACTGGTCTTTTTCTCCCCTCCGGTAGTCGTATTTGTAGAAATTCTTACGTTCTTTGAGTCAGACATCAGTCTAGTAATTAAATATATAACCTTAACTGTAATTCTACATTTGCTTCCGATTCACTACCGATTATGACATTTTTGTGTAAATTCGCCTTTGGCTTTTAGTCCGATTATTCATCCTATCATTCATTTTTTATATTGAGGATGCTTTCAATGTTTGCAACGGTGGCTGCTGATTTTCTTTGTCTTCTGGAGTTTTCAGTTATTTTCTGCTTTTTTGTATTCCAATACATATTTGAATCATCAGAAATTACATGTATGAATTACTAGAAATTATATTTCGATGAGCGTTCAGTGTTAAATGAAGGCAAAATTGCAACAACTTACTCCACTTACTCAATGTTTATCGCAATTGATGAAAGTTTTCATTTTTGGAAAAAGAAGATGTAATGACATTGCACTGAGATAAATTTGGAAGATTTTTGTGATCACAATGGCTATAAAGGAGACATTTCATTTTTGCTTATACTGCTACTATACACTCTGCTTACTTCATGGCTTATTACAACCTCACTGTGAGTGAACAGCCAATCTTTTTGTGGATTGTAGTCCCCTTGCACTTACGGCTGTACAACATACACAACAGAAACTTGTTTAAACATTTATTAGGCAGTTTTTGAGGTAAGCATAACGGCACCTTTAAAGACGCTTTGCCTCAGAACATCTTCTTGAGCCTTTTTCGGGAAGGGTTCGAGTGCGAAAAGTGCATGTGTACACGCATATCGATGCACTTAGCTTGCAAAAAGAACCGCAGATTGAATTGGGTTCCAGAGTGATTTGATGCGGCGGCGATAAGGAATTAATATATTATCGCAAAGTGCTCATGAGTGTAAAGACTTAGGTGCAAAGCGATAAATTCAGAAATGTTCATTCTCCACACGTCTTTTTGTGGAACCTTCTTGAAGCCATACCAACGCCGTAATATTGGGATTTCAGTACTACGTGATCATGTAGGCACAATCTGTTGTAAGACTTTAGGTAACTGGCCGCTTATTTTTGGCATAATACAGCATATCCGAAATAAAGTAGAAACTTTCAGTGGCGTCATGTGGGTTAGCCCTGTTCAAAAAAATTTCAAAAACATTCAGGGTTCATAAATGGACATTCCGCTTATTCATAACTCAACTTTTCACGAGTCTGTGGAGCTTTTCAAATAATGTAATTATTGTTGAAACTTTTGTTGTTTACTTGACTTAACTTATAGATGAAGCACTGCGAAAAACGCAAAGTTCACATTTAGTGTTAGCAGCTTTGAGTAGCCTAGTTTAAGAGTTTTTAGGTCTGGTTTGTTTTCTGAATCGAAATAGGGTCCCTTATGGCTGCAACCTCTCTTCAGAATCTCTACCGTAATCTTACAGTAATGAAAAGCCAGCGATAATTTGCTTTCTATTCAGGATCTGATACGAGGTGGGCAAAAGGAGGTTTTCAAAACGAATTCCCCTTTGACCCCAAAATTTTTTACGAATACCCTTTTGTTTCCAAAGACGGGACCATGTGCTCGTGCAACGAAAACACCGACCGCTCAAAACCTCCTAAAAGCGCCAAGTTTTCTTGATTTCTCTACACCTTTCTCACCTCACCGTTCCGCGCTAACCTAAATGCGCCAGCATGCTTGACACGCAAGCGGAACGTGTGAAAGAAGAGATGCGAGGTATGAAGAGATCTTGTCTTTGAACTTCACATATGTCGCAATTGTCTATCTTGCGAAGTCTGTTCTAATGCATGGAATAATGTCCTTCATGCAATTTCTGTAATTTCGCCTTGTCTGCAATAAAAGCAAATTTTACCCTTCAATCTTCTTCTTGGCTTTGAAATTTGTTAATTGCACAAGTGACCAGACTAGGATCCGATTTGTTTTCTGGGGCGCCATAATAATAAGTGCTTGCACTAAAATAAACAAAAATATTCACATTTGCAGTGATGACGTGTTATCAAGTTTAGGATGCATGTGCAAAAGAGATTAACCAACTCAGGATCATGTGAAGATCAAAATCATGCGGTACAATTTTTCGCTACTAAGTGAGGACCCGAGCTGGACATTGATTTAACTATGATGATGAGAACAAAGATTGGCCCGGAGGTGGCAAATGGGCTTCTGTGACACGAATTGCCTTGCCATTACGAATTTTACTTTTTCCCCTTGATGTGCCAATTGCCCTCTCTAACTGGAGTGCGCTCAGGTTCTAGTAAAGAAAAGTGGAGGCATTTTGAAATCAAATATTTACTCTATGGTAAACTTTATATGTAGAGCAGATTTGCATAATACTTTCAAAGTCATATGGACTGGCAGTTTTACCATGGCATGGCAAACAAGTCGTTTTCCATTTGGTAACGAAATCTTGAAGAGAAGCTTGCTATGTCTTCAATCGTTGTTTCACTCAATTTCTGCAGTTTACTGCTTTTAACCCTCTATTGATGAATAAATTTGGTGCCATATCGTTACATATGCGCTAGGTGCGAAGGGACTTCATTTTGGAAAATGCGCCTTGTGCATGCTCGTGCTTGAGTCAGTCGTGTTGAGCCATTTCCTACCCAGGATGTTTGAGGAGAATAGCCCATAGGAACGTGCGGTAAAGTCTACTGCCCAAGATGAATGTTTGAGCTAAGCTGCAGATGCTGCACGCTGGCTGTTATTTGCGTTATACACTGGTAGGCTTCACGTTTCCGATTTGATGTCCAATTCACAGGAGATTAACTTGTAGTAAGTAACTTTTAACTTATTGGTGAAAATGTAGCGATCATGCTTACTATTGCTTTCCGAAATACCAGCGCCATGGCGTTTGGGAAAAAAGCTGACGAGACCTAATCCTCACTTACATCCGGGACTGAGAGAGGTGTGCCACACGAACACCGAATACTTTCCCCTTCTCCATCCGCTGACTGTCTGAGGGCCGCATGCATTAACATGCCCACTAAGGAGGGGATCGCAGCTTGAAAGAAAGCTTCATATCCTGAAGCTCCAGATATCTGAATTTCACGCTATTAAGTATTCCCACCATCCTCCACTGTGAGCATATTGAACAGAAGCGAGAAGCTATACAAGCCGCATTTTCCAGCTTTTTGTATGATCCCCTGATGATCCCAGGAAATGCTCTTTGAAATCATTTTTCTTTCTTCAACGTTAATGAAAACATTCCAAAGTTGTATTGCTTATTTAATCCAACAGTGCTAAGCATGTTGTTGATGGAAACAAATGATGTTTTGGAGTCGTGAAATTT